TCGAAGAACACAGAGGGCGGGTGGGCGGGGCTAGTGCCTTCTAAGATTAAACTGAATTTAGCATATAACATATTTTCTAAGAAAAAAGACGATGGGTGGGCGGGGCTAATAGCTCTTAACCTAAGATTGATTTTGGCAAATGCGATACCCACTAAGAAGGTGGGCGGGCGGGGCTATTATTTAAAATTATTTTGCTTCACTGAACTAATTTTTGATGTTTACAATTTTGATCTAACTATTATCGTTTTTTCCAGGAATATATGAAATGTGCAATGAACGCTCCATTAAGTAAACATCATAATATAAAGCCAAAGATTAGGTCCCATCCATAGCTGTCTCGTTCTCTATTCTCAATTGTGATGAATTTTTCATTTGTCCTCAAATCGAGGGGCGGGGCTTAAATGCAAGATCCATATTTGTCTACAAGAATTTACCATTTAAACATGTTTTAAGTTTCATGATGTGAAGAGAAGTCTTCACGTATTAAAACAAAAAAGTAAAATGTAAGCCCGCCCACCCGCCCTATCTCAATTGTGATTTTTTTTTTCGCCGTGAACCAAAGGGGTGGAGTTTAACTGCAAAATACATATTTCTTTACAAAAACATGTTTTTAAGTATGGCGTTGTCCAAAGAATACTATAAATATTAAGAAAAAAGGGTAAAATATAAACCCCGCCCGCCCACCCCATCTCGATTATGATGATTTTTTCTGCTTAATACATTTATTTTCTTTGTACAACACAATTAGTTAAGAACATATTTCACATGGTAAATTCTAACAGAAAAATAAGGATTTTTCAATTAAGCTCCGCCCCTCGGCTTACGACGAATAAAAAAAAATCATCACAATTGAGACAGGGCGGGCGGGCAGGGCTTACATTTTCGTTTTTTTTCTTAATATACATATTCATCTTTTCATAGCAAGAAACTTAAAACATAGTTAAAATGGTATATTTTTTCAAGGAAATATGGATTTTGCAATTATGGGGAGTAGCCTAATTGCAAAATCGATATTTCCTCAACAAAAATTTTTCATTTTAAACACGTTTTAAGTTTCATGTTGAGCGGCTAAATCTTTGGTTTAATTTTTTCTTAATATACACAGTATTCTTTGAACAGCACGATACTCATAAATATATTTTTTATTTTTCGTAGAGAACTAAGGATTTTGCAGTTAAGCTCCGCCCTCTTGACCCACGACAATGTCTTAAGTTTCATGTTGTGAAAAGAAGTCTACACAAATTAAAACAAAAATGCAAAATACGTATTTATTTACAAGAAATTGAAAACATGTTTTTAAGTATGACGTTGTTCAAAGAATACTATATATATTAAGAAAAAAGGGTAAAATATAAACCCCGCCCACCCACCCGATCTCGCTTATGATGATTTTTTCTGTTTAATACATTTATTTTCTTTGTACAACACAATCACTTAAGAACATATTTCACATGGTAAATTCTAGTAGAAAAATAAAGATTTTTCAATTAAGCTCCGCCTCTCGACTTACGATGAATAAAAAAAATCATCACAATTGAGATAGGGCGGGTGGGCGGGGCTTATAGTATAACGTATTTTTCTTAATATTCATATCCATCTTTTCATAGCAAGAGACTTAAAATATAGTTAAAATGGTACATTTTTTCAAGGAAATATGGATTTTGCAATTATCGGGCGGAGCCTAATTGCAAAATGTATGTTAAGAATAAAAAGGCAAAATATAAACCCCGCCCACCTACCCTATCTCGATTGTGGTGATTTTTTTTAATTGTCGAGATATTTTTTTCAAAACTTTTATGCCAAATTCTTATTACTTTTCTACAAGAAACTACCATGTAAGAGATATGTTTGAGTCTCGTGTTATTAAAGGGTACCTTGTATATAAAGAAAAAATTAAAACCAAAGATTAAGCCCACCAATACCTGCCCTGATCTAAATAGTAATGAAATTTTCATTTGTTGGCAGACATAGAGGCGGAGCCTAATTGCCAAATCCATATTTCTTTACAAAAATTTACCATTTTGAATGTGCTTTAAGTTTCTAATAATTAAAAAAATCATTACAATTGAGATGGGGTGGGTGGGCGGGGTTTATATTTTGCGTTTTTTTCTTAATATACATAGTATTCCTTGAGCACGATACTCAAAAACATGTTTTTAGTTTCTTGTGAAGGAATAAGTATTTTGCAGTTAATCTCCGCCCCCTTGGTTTACAGCGAATAAAAAAAATTATCACAATTGAGACAGGACGGGTGGGCGGGCTCGCATTTCGTCTTTTTTAAAACATGTTTAAAATGGAAAATTTGTATAAGAAAATATCGATTTTTCAGTTAGTCCCCGCCCCATAATTGCAAAATCCATGTTTCCTTGCCAAAACCATTTTAACCAGGTTTTAAGTTTCTTGTTATGAAAAGATGGCTATCTATATTAAGAAAAGAAGGTAAAATATAAGCCCCGCCCACCCACCCTATCGCGATTGTGATGATTTTTTTATTCGTAGTGAGCCAACGGGACAAAGCTTAACTGCAAAATTCTTATTTCTCTACCAGATATTAAAAAGATATTTTTGAGTATCGTGTTTATCAAAAAATACTGTGTATTTTAAGAAAAAAATACAGCCAAAGATTAGGCCCCACCCATACCCGCCTCGTTCTCAATTTTCGATTGTGATGATTTTTTATTTGTCGTCAAATCGAGGGGCAGGGCTTAAATTTACCATTTTAAACATGTCTTAAGTTTCTTGTTATGAATAAATGGCTATGTAAATTAAGAAAGAGAAGGCAAAATATAAGCCCCGCCCACCCACCCTGTCGCGATTGTGATGATTTTTCTTAATTGTCGAGATTTTTTTAATTTAAATGCAAAATTCGTATTATTTCTCTACAGGAAACTACCATGTAAGACATTTGTTTGAGTATCGGGTATATTCAAAGAATACTATGTACAATTGTACATATATTAAGGGGCGGAGCCTAATTGGAAAATCCATATTTCCGTGCAAAAATTTACCATTTTAAACATGTTTTAAGTTTCTAAGGATTAAAACAATCATCACTTTCTGAGATAAAACTGATTTTGGCTAATGAGATAACCTGTAAGAAAAGACAGGGTGGGTGGGCGGGGTTAGTATCTGCTAAGATTAAACTGACTTTGGCAAATTACATACTTTCTAAGAAAAAACAGGGTGGGTGGGTGGGGCTAATATCTTTTAACATAAGACTGATTTTGGCATGTGACATACCTTCTAAGAAAAGAGAGGGTGGGTGGGCGGGGCTATTATATAAAATTGTTTTGCTTCATTGAACTAATTTTTGATGTTTACAATTTTGATGTAAATATTATCGTTTTTGCCATTAAGTAAACATCATAAAATATTAACCTGGATTAATTATGTACAGAGAAAATTGAACGAGAATTCCTTGCTTATTATCATATTAAGCAGGTAGATTTGAGTATTATAGATCACTTATCATTTAATAATAATATTATTGTCAATTTGAGGACTCTAGTTTTACCTAATAAACACTCTTCTGTCCCTAATTTAAATTCAAAGTAAGTAGCTTAAGGTTTTAAATTTGTTTATCAAGCCACTGTAGCATTTAATCCTATTAGGTACACCACACACATTTTTGATAAAAAACCATGTCGTGTTTTTAGGTATTATTATATTTTTGTCTCGTGTGCTATAAGTTTAGTGTGATCAGTTTTAGTTTTGCCAAAGTTTTAGTTGTGTTTATAAATAAAACAAATGCATTCATACGTGCACAAACACGGTAATAATAATATTTGTATGTGATGTCCGAACGCTTTTCTACACATTTCTCTATTTTTAGATATGTTGTGTTATGTATTCTATTTCCGTTAGTGAAAATAGTTGTACGTGTATTTCTGTGTCGAAACGTGACAAGCGAGCATTTTTACCTGAAGCGAATAACATGGAATTTTGAATTTAAATTTGTTATGTTCCTCAGAGTATCGTAAACCTTAGCGCACAATCTGAAGGGTTATGATGTCTTCCGGAACTAAATTTTGGTTTTAATGTTAAAAATTATATCCAACCAACTTTTAGAATCAAATTAATTTGGGCTCAGACAACGACTGGACTTTAATTGCGTTTACTGCTAAATTAAAAATACCTGAGGGCACAAACGCTAAACAAAGAAAATATTTAAATACTGGTTAACATGTTTACTAAAAGTTCAACAACCGCATTAATTAAAATTAAACAATATCCACCCCATCTGTAGACTAACTTCGAGACATATTAAACATTTACGCAAACATATCGAGCAAACTAGAATGCACATTTATTGGTCTATGGAGATTCGCTGCGAAACTCGACTGCACAACATAAATGCAAGCATCCTTCTCAATTTTTCATATTATGAGAGTTCATGTTTGACCCAAATGCACCAGACATTTATTTTTATAAATAAACAAAGCTATTTATATTTCAAAACGTGAAAATTTACACAGACAACAAATATTAGTACGAACAGCCTAAAACCCACGGTTGCTATGACACCGATGAAACTGTGGTTTAAATCGTGTTCAAAAGGTCTGGACGCTAATGTGTAAATTCTTGACTATCGATTTGTGTGAGAAAAGAGTTTTATTTCTTGTTCAAGTGTCTTTCAAGTATCCGGCTTCTTTATCCTTGAACACTTATCGCCGCCTTAGTTGTCATTAATACAGTTAATTTAATTTAATTTAATTTTTAACTCCTTTCCAACTTTTCTCCGCTAGGCAACTCCCCGACCTCCGCCGAAACTCATGCCTGTTAATTGCCCTCATTTTCCCATCTTTCATTTCCACATCAAATTCCAGTAAAAATTCCCCTGAATGATATCAGCCCCAGCAGACGCCAACTTTCGCACTCTCCAACTTTTTTCCCGTCTTTCGAAAGCAAGAGAATTCAATTAAATTCCGCCAGGAAAAATCAACCGACAATTTCGGCCGTGGACTTAACACATAAACGTAGTTAAGTGCTAAAACACTCACCCTGGTGACCGATCAACTGCACCCTGCGTGATTTCACATGACGATGCCCGCAGAGAACTGAAAGCTGAATAACCTGTAGCTCTGTTGGTGGCGTCGCGGCGGTAATGTGCGTCGATACGCGTTTACTCGCTGGAAACGGGAGAGTAAGACACAATGAGTGCGGAAGCAGAACTGAGCCAGACCATATAAGGAACATAACACGAAGTTTGCTCTTTGCTGGAGGAAAATGAATGCGGATTTCGGGGTGGGGTAAGCGGCACAGGTGGCGAAGTCACAAAGGGCGGGTTTTAAAGAGGGAACGGTTGAGGTTCTTTGTCTTGATTAAACAGGAAATGAGGAGGCTCCATGAAAGCTATTTTTCATAACGATAGATATGCGAAGGACTATTGTGTGTATCTTTTATAATTTAATTGAAATTATGCAGATATTTATTTTGCTTTCAATATTATGAAATTGTTTGATTTCAACGTTAAGCTGAGTGAACCGATGACGAACAAATATTTCCCTGAAAACAACCACACCACAATGTTTATAAAACATTTCAAACGGCATGTGTTAGCTTAAATCGATGTCTACTAGAGAGAATGTTAAACGATTGACTGGTCTGAATGACACCAACAAGCCATAGAATTTTAGTAGTATACAAAAAAGTATTCTAAGAATAATTGGAATAACACTGGCGCTTGTGGGTGTTGGTTAAGATGAAAATATTTGAATTTAGTCACGAAAACTTAGTTTAAAGTTCCGTGGTTCTTAAAAATCTTCGTAGAAAAATTCTATATTGACAATTTCTTACATGCTTAACTTCGACTGTTTATGTGTACACGTCGAAAGAATTCGAATATTGGCACGTTAAAATTAGAAGTAAAAGTTAAAAGAAAATGAAATTTGATTGACTTTGTCTCCTCAATGCAGAAGAGAGGACTGATTAATAAAGCTCGGAATTAAATGCAGAAAAAAAAATGGAAATATATAGATATTTCCTTTTACAAATATTCCATTTTAAACATATTTTAAGTTTATTGTTGTGAAAAGAAGTCTACACATATTAAAACAAAAAGATAAAATATAAGCCCCCCCACCCACCCTATCGCAATTGTAATGTTTTTTTGTATTCGCCGTGAACCAAGGGGGCGGAGCTTAACTGCAAAATACTCTCTTTACAAGAAATTAAAAACATGTTTTTGAGTATTGTGTGGTCTAAAGAATACTGTGTAAATTAAGAAAATTAGGCAAAATATAAACGATATTTCTATGATAACTCCAATGGTTTTTCCAGAATCGTCCTTTGAAATGTGCAAAAATATGCAAAATACGTCCAGTTTTCGACCAATTTGCAACAAAATTTTCGATATTTTACTAAATACATTTTCTTGTAGATTTCGGGCCGCAGAAGTCATATCCGCTTTCATTTCTTCGATAACTCCAATGGTTCTTCCAGAATCGTCCTTCGAAATATACACAAATGTACAAAATACCTCCAATTATTGGACCAATTTTCAACAAAATTTTCGAAATTTCCCTTAATACATTTCCTTGTAAATTTCGGGCCGCAGAAGTCATATCCGCTTTCATTTCTTCGATAACTCGAACGGTTTTTCCAACATCGTCCTTTGAAATATATAAAAATATGCAAAATATGCCCAATTTTCGACCAATTTTCAACACAATTTTCGAAATTTCACTAAATAGATTTTCTTGTAGATTTCGGGCCGCAGAAGTCATATCCGCTTTCATTTCTTCGATAACTCCAATGGTTTTTCCAGAATCGTCCTTTGAAATGTTTAAAAATATGCAAAATACCCCAATTTTCGACCAATTTTCAACAAAATTTTCGAAATTTCACTAAATACATTTTCATGCAGATTTCGAGTCGCAGAAGTCATATCCGCTTTCATTTCTTCGATAACTCCAATGGTTCTTCCAGAATAGTCATTTGAAATGTCCAAAAATACGCAAAATTTAATTCAATTTTCGACCAATTTTCAACAAAATTTTCGAAATTACACTATACATATATATTTTCTTGTAGATTTCGGGCCGCAGAAGTCATATCTGCTTTCATTTTTTCGATAACTCCTATGGTTTTTCCAGAATCGTGCTTTGCAATATAAAAAAATATGGAATCTACGCCCTATTTTCGACCAATTTTCAACAAAATTTTCGAAATTTTACTAAATAAATTTTCTTGTAGATTTCGGACCGCAGAATTCATATCCGCTTTCATTTCTTCGATAACTCGTACGGTTTTTCCAAAATCGTCCTTTGAAATATATAAAAATATGCAAAATATGCCCAATTTTCGACCAATTTTCAACAAAATTTTAGAAATTTCACTAAATACATTTTCTTGTAGATTTCGGGCCGCAGAAGTCAATATCCGCTTTTATTTCTTCGATAATTCCAATGGTATTTCTAGAATCTTGCTTTGAAATGTTCAAAAATATGCAAAATATGCCCAAATTTCCACCAATTTTCAACAAAATTTTCGAAATTTAAATAAGCATATTTTGTTGTAGATTTCGAGCCGCAGAAATCATATCTGCTTTCATTTCTTCGATAACTCCAATGGTTTTTCCAGAATCGTCCTTTGAAATGTTCAAAAATTTGCAAAATATGCCCAATTTTCGACCAATTTTCAACAAAATTTTCAAAATTTCACTAAATACATTTTCTTGTAGATTTCGGGTCGCAGAAGTCATATCCGCTTTCATTTCTTCGATAACTCGAACGGTTTTTTCAAAATCGCCCTTTGAAATATATAAAAATATGCAAAATATGCCCGATTTTCGACCAATATTCAACAAAATTTCCGAAATTTCACTAAATACATTTTCTTGTGGATTTCGGGCCACAGAAGTCATATCCGCTTTCATTTCTACGATAACTCCAATGGTTTTTCCAAAATCGTCCGTTGAAATATTCAAAAAAGTGCAAAATATGAACAATTTTCGACCAATTTTCAACAAAATTTTCGAAATTTCCTTAATACATTTTCTTATAGATTTCGGACCGCCGAAGTCATATCCGCTTTCATTTCATCGATAACTGTAATGGTTTTTCCAGATTCGTGCTTTGAAATGTACAAAAATATGCAAAATACAATATCTTCGACCAATTTTCAACAAAATTTTAGAAATTTTACTAAATACATTTTCTTGTAGATTTCGGGCCGCAGAAGTCAATATCCGCTTTTATTTCTTCGATAATTCCAATGGTATTTCTAGAATCTTACTTTGAAATATATAAAAATGTGCAATATACCACTAATTTTCGACCAATTTTCAACAAAATTTTCGAAATTTTACTAAATACATTTTCTTGAACTTTTCGGGCAGTAGAAATCATATCCGCTTTCATTTCTTCGATAAATACATTTTCTTGTAGTTTTCGGGCAGCAGAAATCATATCCGCTTTCATTTCTTCGATAACTCCAATGGTTCTTCCAGAATCGTCCTTGGAAATATACAAAAATGTACAAAATACCTCCAATTATTGGACCAATTTTCAACAAAATTTTCGAAATTTCACTAAAAACATTTTCCTGCAAATTTCGGGCCGCAGAAATAATATCCGCTTTTATTTCTTCGATAACTCCAATGTTTTCTCCAGAATCGTCCTTTGAAATGTATAAAAACATGCAAAATACGCCCAATTTTTCGCCAATTTTCAACAAAATTTTCGAAATTTTACTAAGTACATTTTGTTGTAGATTTCGGGCCGCAGAAGTCATATCCGCTTTCATTTCTTCGATAACTCCAATGGTTCTTTCAGAATCGTCCTTGGAAATATACAAAAATGTACAAAATACCTCCAATTATTAGACCAATTTTCAACAAAATTTTCGAAATTTCACTAAATACATTTTCCTGTAAATTTCGGGCCGCAGAAATGATATCCACTTTCATTTCTTCGATAACTCCAATGTTTTCTCCAGAATCGTCCTTTGAAATATATAAAAACATGCAAAATACGCCCAATTTTTGACCAATTTTCAACAAAATTTTCGAAATTCCATTAAGTACATTTTCTTGTACATTTCGGGCCGCAGAAGTCATATCCGCTTTCATTTCTACGATAACTCCAATGGTTTTTCCAGAATCGCCTTTCGAATAGTTCAAAAATATGCAAAATACGTCCAATTTTCGACCAATTTTCAACAAAATTTTCGGAATTTTACTAAATAAATTTTCTTGTAGATTTCGGGCCGCAAAAGTCATATCAGCTTTCATTTCTTCGATAACTCGAACGGTTTTTCCAAAATCGTCCTTTGAAATATATAAAAATATGCAAAATATGCCCAATTTTCGACCAATTTTCAACAAAATTTCCGAAATTTCACTAAATACATTTTCTTGTAGATTTCGGGCCGCAGAAGTCATATCCGCTTTCATTTCTTCAATAACTCCAATGGATTTTCCAGAATCGTCCTTTGAAATATATAAAAATATGCAAAAGACGACCAATTTTCGACCAATTTTCAACAAAATTTTCGAAATTTCACTTAATACATTTTCTTGTAGATTTCGGGCCGCAGAAGTCACATCCGCTTTCATTTCTTCGATAACTCCAATGGTTTTTTCAGAATCGTCCTTTGAAATGTTTAAAAAATATGCAAAATATGCCCAATTTTCGATCAATTTTCAACAAAATTTTCGAAATTTTACTAAATAAATTTTCTTGTAGATTTCGGGCCGCAGAAGTCATATCCGCTTTCATTTCTTCGAAAACTCGAACGGTTTTTCCAAAATCGTCTTTGGAAATATATAAAAATATGCAAAATATGCCCAATTTTCGACCAATTTTCAACAAAAGTTCCGAAATTTCACTAAATACATTTTCTTGTAGATTTCGAGTCGCAGAAGTCTAATCCGCTCTCATTTCTTCGATAACTCCAATGTTTCTTCCAGAATGGTCCTGTGAAGTATATAAAAATATGCATAATACCCCCAATTTTCGACCAATTTTCAACAAAATTTTCGAAATTTCGCTAAGTAGATTTTCTTGTAGATTTCGGGCCGCAGAAGTCATATTCACTTTCATTTCTTCGATAACTACAATGGTTCTTCCAGAATGGTCCTTTGAAATACATAAAAATATGCAAAATACGCCCAATTTTTGACCAATTTTCAACAAAATTTTCGAAATTTACCAACGAATGAAAAGTTCATTACTATTTAGATCAGGGCAGGGGCTTAATTTTTGGCTTTAATTTTTTCTTAATATGCGTAGTATTTTTGAATAAGACAAAACTTAAACAAATGCCTTAGATGGTAGTTTTTGTAGAGAAATAGTAAGAATTTTTGCATTTAAATTCTAAAAAAAGAAGCTCGACATTTAAAAAAAATCATCACAATCGGGATAGGGTGGGTGGGCGGGGCTTATATTTTGCCTTCTCTTTCTTAATATACATAGCCATTTATTCATAACAAGAAACTGAAAACATTTTTACAATGGCAAATCCTTGTTGACAAATATAAATCGTGCAATTAAGCCACGCCTCTCGACGTATCGTGAATTGAGAACGGAGCGGATATGGGTGGGACTTAATCTTTGTTTTTATTTTGTTCTTAATAGATATAGTATTCTTTGAACAACACGATACTCAAAAACACGTATTTAATTTCTGTTAGGGAAATAAGAATTTTGCAGTTAAGCTCCGCCCCATTGGCTTACGACGAATAAAAAAAATCATCACAATTGAGATCGGGTGGGTGGGCGGGGTTGATATGTTGTCTCGTTTTCTTAATATGTGTAGACTTATTTCGACACCAAGAAACTTAAAACATGGCTAAAATGGTAAATTTCTGTAGTAATCAACTTTAATCCTCCATGTTTCTTCGGCAACCTCTTTAAATACGACAAAATCTCTAGAATCAACTTCAGCGGCAGGAACAGCAACTACAACGGGAACTTCAACGTCAACAGTATGTTTATAAATCCCAAAATTAAAATTGATAAAACCTTGACATTTCATAATTGGGATCACAGCGTCACTAATATTAATTTGAAAATTCTTTAAAGCCACTATTAACCGGATTCAGTGCTTCCAGCATCTACAACTAAATTCTTTACAACGTCCTCCTGGTTAATCAGCCGCGAGTCCCCATAAAACCCGGCTAAAAAATCACAAAGATTGAACATTATTTATGGTAAACGCTCCACAAAAATCGCTTCCGACAAGATTATGAAAGTCGTAAATCCCGCATGCTGCACAAGGCACGCGTTCCAACTTTACTAAACTACATTTTCCCATATCTGCTACACCCTTTCCAACTTTTATGCACACATTAAATTCTCTATGTCGTTTTGTAGCGAACTGCAAGTTCAGCTAACGAGACTTTTGAAACCCCGTGCGTCAGAAAAACTTTAACACAAAAAGCACAATTATAGTTAAATCGCTACCGAATAACTACACATAAGTGTTCGCGTTAGAACGTGCTTTGATCCTCTCTCGATTCTAGTGCGTCAATAGTGACAGAGCACAGCGCAAATAAAGGTGGCAGGAGCACCCTCGAACTGATATCAAACGGCAACAGCGGCTTTGTTGTTTCTCAAAATATTTATCTTTCATTACTCCATTTTCCAATGAGTTCCGAATATGTGAAAACTAGCGAAAAGCGAAAAAATATTGCCACAAATGCAAAGAAACACTCCACCGGACACAACATAAACTTGGCTTGAAATAATTCACCTTTCTCGAATCGATATTTTAATGTGAGACGGAGTTTTTACAAAATTACGCTGCAATCGCATTATCGGATCCGAGCTCGTGTTGCGTGTCAAAAGTAAAAAGTAAGTTCGCTTATAAATGTTAAAATTATTCATAAGTCCTGTGTGCTTTCGAAAAGTAAATTGACAGCTGCTTCCATTGAAAGGAATGATGTAAATGGACGAGCTTTTTTATGGAAATTAATTTTTTATAGCAGACAAAGTGTGAAAGCAAGAAACACGTAAATATCAATCTTAAAGGTTTGAAAACGGTGTCCCGGCGCCTCCACCATTTCATACCGAAACTAAACTACTTTAGAACTCGAACCAATCAAACTGATATAAATATGGTTTAGCAGCTTAAATCGATTCCGGCGACGAATTTTTCCCATTTTCTCTTCCTGTTGACTACTAAAGCAAGTTCACCGACACTGACGTAAATTGGGTAGTATTTACCCAAGAATTTTAAGATTCGCAGCCACCGCGGTATAAATCATAACGAATGCGATTAAAGAAATCACCAACTTTTTCTGAAAATTCCAAGAATAATACGTATAAATTATTACGTTTCTAGAACAAAATAAATGTTATTTCAACGTAGCACGAGTTTACAGTGTCTATATTCTTACGTCTCGCTAAAGTTTGTAGGAAACAAAACCGTGGAGGAAATAAAGCCTCTGAAATGTTTTCTCTGAAAACAGTTATTAAAATTTGAGCTCCACTAACCGCGTCTTCGTTGGTTGAAAAAAAAATCGATCGCACTAAAAAAGTTCATAGTAGTGTAAGCCTTTATTAATTAAATTAATTTATTTCATAAAAATGTTACAAACATTTCGTATAAATGTAATAGCACCTGTAAGTTTACATTAAATAAAAAAAATCTATAAAAATAAGTAGCTAGTTAACTTACAATGACAGCGAGGTTAAGTAGATTGCATCAGAAGCCCGTCGACCCCACCACCACACAAAGAAATTGAGCGTACGAATCGTACCTGAATTAGAAACTTATAACTAGATCGTAGATTTAGTAAGCACCCACTTGTTCAGTTCCCCACAAGCCCCGTGGAAAAGTGGACAAACGGGTCGAAGCCCTTGTCAAAATTCCTCAAAAAAAAAAACCATCATCCAAATCGTACCTTACAGACGTTATCACAGCATTCTAGTTACTAAAATTATAAAAACGTATTCATGTAAATATAAAACAGGGCAGTTAATTAATTAAGTTAGAACTAAATTAGTATGAAAGTTAGTCCTTATTTGAAACTAGCTTCACTGTCGTTATCCCCAAACCAGTTCTTTCTTGCTCCCATGAAGCTCGTGGAAGCCTCGCTCCGGAACTCTTTAGTCACCACTTGTGTGGTCATTCCAGGTCGTTGCGTCACCTGGCTGCTGGCACTAGCTTGCCACATGGCCGTGTGCTCTCCCGTTCCTCTGGGAACATGCAACGGCTGTATCCTGCTACTCCTCTGCGACTTAGGGGTAGCTTCTGGACTCGTGAACTCACTAGCGGTGTCGTACCGTGAAGGTGCTATCCACCGTTCCGTAAACTCGCTAGCTGATCTAGCCAGACTGGGTTGACTCAGCGATCTGGCTAAAGACGGGTGGTGCGAAGACGCGCTCTTGTACTCCATTTCCACCTCAGAATCGTCGTAGTACCTTCCAGTACCCGGATAGTAGCTCGAACTTTCCGAGTGACTATCCTCCGGTCGTCCAAAATCTACAGTCATTTCAGACATGGATCTCAAATCGACTTCGCTGCGATAGCTCGAACGACTCGTCTTCCTAGATCTGAGTGGTACCAACGAGTGTACAATTGGTTCTTGAGTTAAAGTACGCACGGAACTACCACCATCCGAGTCGTACTCGTACAAAGTCGGTAAACTACTGCGTCTACTTCTAGTATCCCAGTCAGTCTTCTTGCGGAAGCGACTCTGACTCTTGGGTTTATCCACAGGAGTGAGGATTCTAATAATCACGTCCCACTTCTGGGGTTCAAAAAGCTTCTCGTAACGGGTGTCTTGTCGGATTCGTTCGAAGTCCTCACGTACTACGGCTTCAGTGAGAAGAGTACGAAGAGTCGACTCTGTGGTGATAATCTGGCGCCACTTCATCTTATCAGAAAGGGTGAGCTGCGAGTTGAAAGTTTCGGCACTTTCAATTACTGGACCTTCTTCATTCTCGGTGGGTTGGAAAACCCGAATCAGGACGTTCCAATTGGGTACTTGCGGGTTTTCTAACGGAATATTAAAAGTGGAGAGGAAATTCGCCGGAGTTGGAGGAACGGGGTGCTGGGAGATGCTTCCAACGAGCTCTGGGGAGTTCAAAGGCAATTTATTATCGTCGATGGTGTTCTGCGGAGGCAGACTCAAATTGGCACGTTCGAGTTTCGGTGTCAAAGTCATTCCAGACGCTGACGAAATATCAGAGAAGTTCTCCCAGTCTGGTGGTTCCGGCATCTCCATTGGGTAGTTCTTAATAGTAACGTCCCAGTGTTGTTCAACCACCGGTTTGGCACGGGTGTGGTACTCAGTGATCAGTCTCTTGTGACGTTCTATATCTTCAATGGTCTTCTTCTCGGTGATCGTGCGTAGGAAAACGTCATCCACCACGTGAGACGTAATTTCCGGTTTGTGCACAATCGCGATTGGTGGTTCCAACGGAGTCGGTGGTCCCATATCAACCATGTACTCTTGTCTTGGCACGATTGGCGGCGGCGGGGGTGGTGCAGGCGCCACAAACCTACTATGACTATCATCGATAATCTCCGTCATGGAGTGAGTATCCGTCATCTCCGTATTCAACGACGCTATAGACCTAGCGGGTTGAATCCTCGGTGGTTCCACCTCCTGCAACTCTTGTTGTCTTCGCAAAATCCTGTTGAAAGTAGGTGCTGGTTGGACGTGTCTAGGCGGTGGATGCAACTCCGGTACGTAAGTAAACTGAGTCCTCTCCACAGGCAACGGAGAATCGAACGACCTCAAACTATCCTCCCTTTGTTCCAAAATCGTCGACAAGTTCCGCTCCGTCCTGGCCACAGAACTCTCCGTATCCGAAATGCTCAAGCTTGGCGGCGACGGCGGCGCGCGTTTCACACGAACCTGGACATCAAATTTGGGTTGGTCCTTCGGTACTGCCAACGGCAATCTCGGTACGGTTGACGCAATCGCGGTGGCGTTGTGAATGTGTTGTTCCTGGGTTTGTCCATACCCCTCGCTGTAGAAACTGGTGTTATCAGGGAGATAAGCCTGGTTTTCGTAGCTGCCACCCGACGATGGTGGCAGTGAACGAGCGTCTTCCGCCTCCGAGTGCGACTCCGAGGGGTAATCCGAAGGGATTAGCAGCCCTTCGCTGCCGGAACTACTTTCGGCGGCGGCCACCACTGGCGCGTTGACTCGGGGGATCTTCAAGCCTTCGAACATGGATAAGTTTCCTGAAAGAGTACGATTAGTACGAGTTGATAAAGTATAGTGGTAGTACCAAGAGAGCTGCCTGAGAGTTTCGTGATTTCCGAGTCGGCCACCGAAGGGAATGGGTGTTTTCGGATGACGGTCATGTTGCGTCGCCGGAGGCAGTAGTAGGAGCATCCTAGACCTAGTAGGAGGAGCGACAAGAAGAGGATGCCGCAGAAGATGAGGAGGATTTGGAAGGGCCGCAGTACTGGTTCGAGGATTTGAGCGGGTGCGATGGGTTGTTTGCTGAAATTGGTCTATTAGTGGTGATTTAGTGATATGACAAGTACTTACTTGAACTCGATCAGGGGGTCTGGCAAGGGGGCCACTGGTGGTGGGTATCGGCACACTATGGTGATGATTTCGTCGCCGTCGATCTCTAAACCGGGGTGGAACCTCACTACGATGTTGTTAGTGAACACACGTTGAGGATCCTGCAAAACGAGAGATTCAAAAACAAGAACAATTTTAAGGGTGGAAGAGATTCTACATAGTCTAGAAAACCTCTACGCTAGAAAATTTGATGCATCTACATGAGCTAGAACAAAAACTAGAGAGTTGGCAAAATCTTGCAACTCCTCAGACTAGAAAGAATGTAGGCAATCTAAAGATTCTAGAGAGCCTAAGCAGTCGAAAGAGTTCAACGAGTTCAGACTCCCTAAATTTTCTGTACCTACAGAGCATACAAGATCTATAAAATCTAGATCTTGCAGAGTATGAAGAGTTTAGAAAAGTTACACCGTCTAGGTAATTTAAATATTGCAGAATCTATAGACAATATAGAGAGTTTACGAAGTTTAGAAGGCCTTCAGGAATCTATGAAATTTAGAAATTTTGGAACGTCCATAGAATCTAGACCCCTGTATTCCAGAGTTTAGAGCTATGAACATATAGGGAGTTTGCTACGTTCTTATTTTATATGCAATCTAAAAGCTCTAATAACACATATATTCAGTAGGGATTCTAGACACCCTAGACTCTCTATAATCAAGAAGTCGTCTAGGCTCTGCAGTTTTCAGACATTATAATAAGGTGTCTAGACTCTCTAGAACTTCTAAAATTTCTAGATTTTCTAAGTCCGTAGACTCTCAATTCTCTCTAGATCCTCCAAACCCTAAATTGCCTACATTTTCTAGATTTTCTAAACCGTTCATATTCTCTAAGATCTTATCAGACTTTATTAACTTTCTAAACTCTCAAGGTACTGTGAGCTCCCTAAAATCTTTAAATTTTAGATGATTTAAATTGTTTAGATTCTCTAGACTCTATATATTGTTTCTAGATGCTATACTTTGTAGATATTTAAAACTCTACACGTTTTGTAGAATTTGTAGATACTCTAAAGACCCTAGAAAGACTACAGAATCTAGAGTCCATAGAATCTAAATTGTTGACAAAGACGCTTGATTAGAACGAATCCAAGATATCTAAAACGATAGACAATCTAGACAAAATACATCGTCTAGAATCTAAAGAATTTAGAGAGCTTACAGTACCTCGATAAATTAGAAAATCTACAAAATCCAGCAAATCAAAAGTCTAGAGATCTCGAAGAAAATTAACACTTTATACAAGGCAATTTAGGGAATGGAGAATCTAGGAGAGAATTTAAAGCGTCCATGGAGTTTAGAAAGCTTCTAGAGTGTATTGAATCTGAAGTATTTAGAAACTTTAGAAATTCTAGAAAATTTGGCTTTTAAGTTAGAGTTTAGAACTTTAAGAATGTAGAAAATCTAGGGAATCTACAAAATGGAGATAGCTTCTCAGGTAGTGAGTATCTAGAGCGTCTAGAATCCTTAAATAATATAGAGTCAAAAGAATGTGCAGAATAAGACGACTAATTCTAGACTACGTAGGATATATAAAAAGCCTACAAAATCTGTAGAGCTTAAAGTATCTATAGGGTGTAGAAACTGCAGACATTTTACAGAATCTAGACAATTTGAATCGTCTGGTATCTAAAGATTTCAGAAAATCAATAAAATCTAGCTAAATCTACAAATTAATCTTAGAAGAATATAGAAACTTCAGAAAACATAGTGAGTCTAGGCAAATTAAAGAGTGAAGAATCTATAAAGAATTTAGAATATCTACAGAGTTTAGAAGGCCTCCAAAGCGCAGAGAAGGTAGAGTATTTAGAAATTTTAGAAATTGTAGAAAATCTGGGTCACTTTAGGTTAAAAATTAAACTTTTAAAAGAGTGGAAAGCCTAGGAAATCTACAGAATGGAGCCAGCCTCCAGAGTGGTGAGAATCAAGTGTGCCTAGAAACACTAGAGGGTATAGAGTCCAGAGACTATATAGATTTGAGCAAAGCACATGATTATAGACAACCTAGTGTATCTAGAAGCCCTACACAACATATATAGCTTGAAGTATTTTCCCATTATAGCGTCTAGAAATTATAGACAGCCTAGAGTATTTAAAAAATTTGAATCATCTCATAGCACCTAGAGAATCAAAAAAAATCTATAAAACCCAGTAAGTTTACACTTTAGAAAGAGATCTTGGAGAATATTAAGACTTTATAGAAGGCAATTTAGTAATTCCTGGAGAATCTAGAGACAATTTAAGGCGTGTACGAGATTTAGAAAACCTCCAGAACATAGAGTAGATAGAAACTTTAGAAAATGTAGAAAATTTAGTCTCTTTAGTTTAGAGTTAAGAGCTTTAAGAGAAAATCTAGCAAGTCTAGAACATACAAATCTTAGAGAGTATGAAAATTCAGAAAACCTAGAGAGTATAGGCAATTTAAGGACTGAAGAATCTAGAAAAAAAAAACGAAATCTATGGAGTTTAGAAAGCTTCTATAGCTTAGAAAATGTAGATAGAGTATTGTAAAACTTTAGAAATTGTAGAGTATAGAGAGTATGCGAATCTAGAGTGTCTATTAATTCGAGCGGGGCTCTTAATGAGAGACAACCAAGTGTATCTAGAAGCCCTACAGAACATATAGAGCTTGAAGCATCTAGAAGTAGAGCGTCTAGAAATTATAGACAGCCTAGAGAATCTAGACAATTTAAATCGTCTGGAAGACCAAAAAATCTATAAAATAAAAAGACATCTTGGAAAACATTGAGACTTTATAGAAGACAATTTAGGAATTGGAGAAACAAAAAAAAATTGAAAAGGTGTACGGAGTTTAGAAAGCCTTCAGAACATAGAGACTCTAGAATATTTAAAAACTTTAGAAAATGTAGAAGGTTTGGTGTCTTTAGTTTAGAATTTAGAATTTAAGAGAAAATCCAGCAACTCTAAAATTTACAAATCTTAAAGAGTAAGGAAACTTTAGAGAACTTAAAGAGTCTAGGCAATTTAGAGACTGAAGAACATAGAAAAAAATTACAAAATCTAGAGTTTAGAAACATAGAGGATGTAGAGTATTTCGAACCTTTAGAAATTGTAGAGTATAGAGAGTCTGATTATAGATAATCTAGAGCAGCTAGAAGTATTTACAGAGTAGAGCGTCTAGAAACTATAGACGACCTAGGGAATATAAACCATTTAAAACACACAGAATCTAAAAATGGAAAGAAGCTTGCAGTAACTAGAACGAAAATCTATAAAATCTAGCAAGTCTAGAGTCTGCAGATCTTAGAAAATATAGACTCTGAATATCTTAAACAATTGGAGAATGGAGAATCTAGAGAGAATTTAGAGAGTCTACGAGGCCTAGAGAATCTAGAATAATTTGGATAATCTAAAGAGTCTAGAAGAACTTTAGAAAATGTACAAAATTTAGTCTCTTTAGTTTAGAGTCAAGAGCTTTAAGAGAAAATCTAGCAAGTCTAGAATATACAAATCTTAGAGAGTATGAAAATTCAGAAAACCTAAAGAATATAGGCAATTTAAGGACTGAAGAATCTAGAAAAAAATTAGGTAATCTATGGAGTTTAGAAAGCTTCTATAGCTTAGAAAATGTAAATAGAGTATTGTAAAACTTTAGAAATTATATAGTATAGAAAGTCTGCGAATCTAGAGTGTCTATTAATTCTAGAGGATATAGAGCCCAGAGACTATACAGATTCGAGCGGGGCTCTTAATGAGAGACAACCAAATGTATCTAGAAGCCCTACAAAACATATAGAGCTTGAAGTATCTAGAAGTATAGCGTCTAGAAATTATAGACAGCCTAGAGAATCTAGATAATTTAAATCGTCTGGAAGACCAAAAAATCTATAAAATAAAAAGACATCTTGGAAAATATTGAGACTTTATACATGGCAATTTAGGAATTGGAGAAACAAAAAAAAATTGAAAAGGTGTATGGGGTTTAGAAAGCCTTCAGAACATAGAGACTCTAGAATATTTACAAACTTTAGAAAATGTAGAAGATTTGGTATCTTTAGTTTAGAATTTAGAATTTAAGAGAAAATCTAGCAAGTCTAAAATTTACAAATCTTAAAGAGTAACGAAACTTTAGAGAACTTAGAGAGTCTAGGCAATTTAGAGACTGAAGAATATAGAAAAAAATTACAATATCTAGAGTTTAGAAACATAGAGGATGTAGAGTATTTCGAACCTTTAGAAATTGTAGAGTATAGAGAGTCTGATTATAGACAATCTAGAGCAGCTAGAAGTATTTACAGAGTAGAGCGTCTAGAAACTATAGACGACCCAGGAAATATAAACCATTTAAAACACCCAGAATCTAAAAATTCTAAAGAGCTTGCAGTAACTAGAATGAAAATCTACAAAATCTAGCAAGTCTAGAGTCTGCAGATCTTAGAAAATATAGACTCTGAATATCTTAAACAATTGGAGAATGGAGAATCTAGAGAGAATTTAGAGAGTCTACGAGGCCTAGAGAATATAGAATAATTTGGATAATCTAAAGAGTCTAGAAGAACTTTAGAAAATGTAGAAAATTTAGTCTCTTTAGTTTAGAGTTAAGAGCTTTAACCCTGCGTTGGTCGCGCTATGAGCGATTCCCTCACATCGTTTTAATTTTTGTTAACAGACCTAATATTTTTCATTAAATTTTTTCGAACTTTTTAGTAGCTTACTTTTTGTGTTTTTTAATTATTTTGGTTGTAGATTCATTAATTTTATTGTATTACGTTCCTTTTTGCAATTTGTTTCTCGAATGATTGTATTCTAGGTGAGCACCATTCTCACTGTGCGACCATCAATGTTGATATAAAGTTTTTAGATTTGTGTCAACATAACATGCAAATATTTCACGGCAAATGTGAAAACGTGAATATTTCAGTTCAGTTCAGCTTCAGGTATAATTGTTTTTATTTTTAATTTTATAGATAACAACTATCACTATATTTTTTTCACTTCTAAGCATTTTAGGGATAAACAGTCAATTAATTTATCAAGAGAATATAAACCGGATAATAAAACGACGAGTTTATCTTAAAACATTAGACATGGATTTAGTAAAGTCGCAGCAGATGAAGCGGCTAGAAAGAAATGTACCTGCTCAA